GAAGGAAGGAAGGAAGGAAGGAAGGAAGGAAGGAAGGAAGGAAGGAAAGACTAAGTCCATGAGAGAGAAAACAACATGAGAAAATCAAGAAGGGTAGTTGATGCACTGAGGAAGACAAGATGACAAGCAGTAGTAATTATGAGCAGCCCAGAGGAAAGGGGAAAGAATCATGCAACAAAGAAGACAATGAGTAAAGAAGCAACAGTGTAAAGTGCTAAGTATTCCAAAATAGAATGCAAAGGAGAAAGGCAATCTGAATAGCAATAAATAAGTTAATAGGAATAAGTCTGGTTTAAGAAATATCTGAGGGAAATAGCTTTATGACTTTATGATAGCAAGGACTTCATGATAGTGAAACTGAAGTTCTACAGGTAGTTATCGACTTACAACAATTCATTTAGTGACCGTTCAAAGTTAAAACGGCACTGAAAAAAGTGACTTACGACCATTTTTAACACTTATGACTGTTGCAGTCTCCCCATGGTCATGTGATTTACATTCTGATGCTTGGCAACTGGTTCATATTTATGACAGTTGCAGTGTCCCGGGGGGGGGGGGTGTCATATGATCCCCTTTGGCAAGCTTCTGACAAGCAATATCAATGGGGAAGCCAGATTCACTTAACAACCATGTTACTAACTGATTCACTTAACAAATGGGGGGAAGAGTCATAAAGTTATAAAATGGGGCAAAATGCACTTAACAAATTTTTCACTTAGTAACTTACATGTTGGGCTCAAGGGTGGTCGTAAGTCAAGGATTACCTGCAGTGCTACGGCTTTATTGAGCAATAAATAAAGTTTTCAAAGGTAAAATAAATTCCTAGTTTCCTGCTTGCTATCTTTACTATCTAGAACAGGGGTCTTCAACCTTGGCAACTTTAAGACTTGTGGACTTTAAGACTTATAGATTTCAACTCCCAGAATCCCACAAGGCTTAAAGTTACCAAGGTTGGAGACTGCTGATCTAGAAAACAAACCTGTGATATTAACAAGCTTGAACAAAAATTCTCTGTCTCTCTCTCTATGTGTGCATGTATGAGTGAGTGAGTGAGTATGAGTGTGTATGTGTGTGTACGTGTATGCATAAATTTGTATGTGTATGTGTAGGGTGGAGAACAGTGTATAAAATGGTCAAAGTATTTCCTTGCACTGGAACATGGGTGTCTTTTAGTTATAAATTCTGAAAGAACTGAGTCATAAAAATAACATCTTGAAAATGTTCAATTTAAAAAAAAACAGTGTGAATGTATTAAAACATACCAATTCCATGTACGCTATCAGGAATATATGCTGAGAATTCAACAAACACTTAATATTTTCATATAATATCACTCAGTTAGCTGAATTGTGAACTGAATATTTGGATCAGTATGCAAAACTGCTTGAGACTTGCCTGTATGTTTTTAGAAAGGCTGAGATTTTTGATGAGGCAAGCCATATGGCCAACAATTACTGGGTCTGTTCTCCAGGTAAGCAACAGTTCCCCCAAAGTTTGCAGCATCTCATCAGACATCAGGGTATCCTGCAAAGATTAAAGTAGCACTTAAAATACAGTAAGAGCACTTTTAAAATAACAATCTGTGTGGGATTAACCCAAATTTACAAAATTGGTATAATACAGCTGCAGGTGCAAAGCAATGTTGCACTAAAGAGCCAAGGTTGACAGGGAGGGAAAGGGCCAGAGCATCTCTGTGTAATAATACCCAGTTCTGGGGCGGGAAACTGTGCCATTATTAAATTGTTAAGCAATTTAAAAAAAGCCAGTGAGCTGTGCTAACCTTACGGTTGGTTAATTCAATAAACAGCAATATAAATACTTCCATTGAGTACCAATCATTCAAGGTTCTATCCAATCATGGATAGCTTTTTCCATTACTGGTAGTCCTCGACTTGCAACCACTATTGAGCCCAAAATTTATGTTGTTAAGTGAGACATTTCTTAAGTGAGTTTTGCCCCATTTTACTACCTTTCCTACCGTGGTTGTTCAGTGGTTCACCACAGTCATTAAGTTAGTAACACGGTTGTTAAGTGAATCTGGCTTGCTCTGTTCACTTTGCTTGTCAGAAAGTCGCCAAAGGGGAATCACATGATTCTGTGACATTGCAATCGTCATAATTCTGAGTCGGTTGCCAGGGGCTTGAATGTTGATCATGTCACCATGGGGATACGGCAATGGTTGTTGGTCATAAGATACATATTTCAGTGCCGTTGTAACTCTGGTCACTAAATGAACTGTTGTAAGTCAAGGACTACCTGTACGGTAGTAATGACTAAAACTGATCACGGGTCTAACAAAAAGGAGGCCTGCCATTAATTTACTTATCAATTTGAAAAAAGTCTCAGGTGGAAACTGGGAGAGACAAAGGATCTAAATAAGCAGCAGGAAGGAGAGAGCGATTAACCTAACTGATTAATATTTTTAATAATAAATATTCTTTATTTGCAAGGAAACTGATAGACAAGTAAAGTTAAAGAAGGTATACCTACCAAGCTAAAGATAAAATATAGTGCGGAACCGAGTAAACCGTGCTGAATATCAGAGTAATAAGGAAAATAGAAGAAAAAGGTGCCATCTCAAGAGACGGAACAATAGTAGAAAGCATAGTAGAAAGTTTACGAATAAAAACCCTGTTCACTAGATACTCCCCCGTCTCCCCAATTAAATTCTATGAATTAAAATATCAAAAGCACTATCATACCTCTGAATAACATAAATTGTGAACCCTTCCTGTCATGTAGATATACGAAGCATGCCTGTTTGAACATCTGTCCTATCCCAAATGCTTTTAATCTCATAAGCGAGATCCAAAGGCCAATGGTATTAAGAAAATGTGTACCTGGTTGCCTGAGTGTTGGGATAATATCTGGAGGAGAATTACTGAATTCTGCTGAATCTCCTTATTTCTAAATGTCAAGAGAGGAAGAAGACGGGACTGGATATGCATAGCAACAAGACTGGTCAGAACAAACTCTGCAACAGAAGAACACTCCTTAAGGCTGTCTGTCAATCAACCAAAATTGTTCTGCAAAAAGAACTTGAGAATAAAGCGCATCACCAAGTTTAATAAGAGTCAAATTAGTTCAACTGTCTCCTAGAAGCAGAGAATTCTACGCAATATCAATACAGTGGTTAGATCCAGAGCTCTGTTTCATGACAAATCACCAGAAGGACAAACCAAACTTAATATAAAAAAGCTAGCCCCTGATCAAAGTAATTAAACCATGTTCACCCTGATCTCACTAGAAGTCCAGGTAGTATTGATATTAGCATCAGAAGAAAGCTTAAAGTAGTTGTGCCCCCTTCTGGCATGGACTGGAACACAGAAAGCTCATTCAAAGCCAAGGAGACACATGACAAATCATCATCCAGACTGAATGACATCTTCAGAGGGGTATAACACAGTGATCCCCAACCTTTTTTATGCCGCGGCCCGGTACCGGCATCAGCTGGGCGCCGCGGCCCGGTACCAGCATCAGCTGGGCGCCGCCATCTTTTTTTGATGAAAAAGTGCTTCCTGTGACCTCACCGGAAGCACTTTTTCATCAAAAAAAGATGGCGGCGCCAGCGCTTCCGGTGAGCTTTTCCGGATAGAAATGGCTTTCTACCCGGAAAAGCTCACCGGAAGCACTTTTTCATCAAAAAAAGATGGTGGCGCCCAGCAAACCAGCGGCCCGGTAGGACTTGTTCCACGGACCGGTACCGGTCTGCGGACCGGTGGTTGGAGACCCCTGGTATAACAGACAGAATAGCCACATTTACAACCAAATATTGTAGGCACATGACTTGTAAATTAAAGTCCATTCCATAAATATTGAAAGCTGAAAGGTGCCCGTTTACTGTAAAATGTTTAATGTTTATGCCCGCATACAGCTAGTCCTTGGCTTATGACCACAATTGAGCCCAAAGTTTCTGCTGCTAAGTGAAACGTTTCTTAAGTGACCATTTTATGACCTTTCTTGCCATGGATGATAAGTGAATCACTGCAGTTGTAAAGTTAGTAACACGGTTGTTAAGTGAATCTGTCTTCCCCATTGACTTTGCTTGTCAGGAAGCCGCAAAGGGCGATCACATGACCTCACGAGTCAGTTGCCAAGCATCTGGATTTTGATCATGTGATCATGGGGTTGTAAGTGTGAAAAACGGTCATAAGTCACTTTTATCAGTGCTGTCGTATCGTCACTAAGCAAACCGTCGTAAAGGACAGTATTCTTCTTTCAGAAAGGCAATATCTGGATCTGGTTAATAATGTCGAGGAACAATATTAGCATGCATCAAAGGTGTATGGGAGAAGGGGAGAGGAGATATCACGGAGGCTCAATGCTTTCCGTAGTGTGGCCCCAGTTACACTGGCACATGACCCCCTCCCTCATGTGTTGGCTAACCACCAATTCAATCTAGCACTTGAAATAGATCCTCCACCTCTGCGTTAGGTTCGCTTCTTACATCAAATCTAAATGTGAACCTGGGGAGTGAATGGCTTGAAGCTTTGCAGAAAATTACTTGCAATACAAGAACAAAAGTAACACTTTAGGTTTTAAATAGGACTGGTGGTTACCTGAATTTGTACCAAGATGGGAATTTGGACTTGAATTCATGTACAGACTTTAACAGAGTGAATTATACTAATAAATGTGTCAATTATAGAATCCAGTTAGAGACCACTGCTTCACTGATGAAGAAGCAAACTGCTAAATTCTTCTGCAAAACACCTGTGTTTTTGTATGCATTTCTCCCACAAATTAAAATCTTTGTGAAAGAGTAATGATGCCCCTTGTTTGCAATATAATGCCATTTTCTCTTAAATTTTATAATCAAATGCCCTGTATATCCATTACGCTATCCAATGTAGAAAGTTTAAAAAAAAAACCTCTGAAAAATAGAAAGATTAATAGAAAGTTGAATCCAAGAAAATCTAAGAGGAAATCTGACAGTAGTGCTTCTTTATTAGGCCCAAAGTAAATAAAGACAGGGTCCTTTCTCAAATATTTCATCCACCAGAAATCAAATGCAAGTGCCACTGAAGCAGGGGAGGTCGTGGTGTTATCATCATCAGATAAACCTATTGTTGGAGGAAATGTTCATCTGGGTTCAGTTCCAAGTGGGAAGAAAGACACTAGAAACATGGAGACTGCTTGGAAGGATGGACAGGACCACATGGTTTGGTCCTGGGTAGCTGACGACATGGAGTGGAGAGGGAGATATACGTATACCCTCTCTTGGGCTTTGAACTTGCTTCCTGTTCCTGTGAAAGAAATGTATCCTGATTGGTTGTCAGATTCCCATGGATGTAGCGGTAACTGTGTAGGTTGTCTTGAGTCCCAGGCTTGGTTGAATCTTGCTGGGTGATGTAATCTTTCCAGGTATCATGTTGTGAGATGGTTAGAGGGCTAATCCTATCATGTCCTGAGGGGGCAGGGGCTGTAGGGAACTTTGTCTTTAAAAATAAAGACTTTCAAGACAAGATTGGACTGCCATTTGCCAGAAATGGTGTAGGGTCTCCTGCTTAGGCGGGGGGTTGGACTAGATGACCTACAAGGTCCCTTCCAACTCTGATTATCTGATTCTGAACATGTTTCTCCTTTTCTCATCCAGGGAAATATAATAGTCTGCCTTTTTAGTATTTCCTAGAATATTTCATTCTTCTTGAAGAGGGGTGGGTGCTAACTTTCTACTCTACTAAGCAGAGCCAGTTCTGGGGGAGAAGGGGTTAAGGCACCAGCTTATAAACCAGGAGACCACGACTTCTAGTTCCACATAAGCCACAAAGCCAGCTGTGCGACCTTGGGCCAGTTCCTTTCTCTCAGTTCTAGGAAAACCACCTCTGAAACTCTGCCAAGAAAACCACAGGGATTGGTCCAGGCACTTGCCAGGAGTCAAGACTGACTTGAGGGCACCAAACAAAGAAATCTATTCTGCTTTTTCCCAGGTGTATGCTGTGCTGATAGGAGAAGAGGTGCTTTGTTCACATTTCCATGCATCACAAGGCCCCTCTTCTAAAAGATTTGCAGAGCTGTTGTTACAGAAAAATCTTTTTTCCCCTCAAATTTCTCTCACTGTTATATATTTTTGATGGGGTCGCTGCTTTTTTCCTCACCCAAAGGATCAGATAGGTGACTCTTTTTTTTTTTGCTCAAGAATGATCTAATAGTGCATGCGACTTGTTAGAAAAAGTAGCATTGAAACTAATTTTTATTTAGTTTAAACGCACATAATTTAGGATTATAAAAGTGTGTGACTTGGCAGCTGTAATCTGTATTGATGACTGTTGTGAATCAATAAAAGTGAATAACCTAAATGCAAATTAGGGGTTGAAAACCTGCACACTAGATTGGTCCTTATACAACAACTTGGGATTGGGCCAGAACTAGTCCCTGATTGGCCACTTTTGGGACTTTTCTTATTGGTTAGTAGTTTGAACTTGTTGCACATTTTCATTGGTTAATAAGGCAGCAGCTAACCCTATAAAAGGGTTACTGCTGCCCATAGCGTTGCTCTGTTATGTTCTATCACTTTATTAAAGAGTTGAAGTCACTGGTCAGATGTCTGGTCTCCGTTATTCTCCATACTTAACAATGACCTTGAATAGTCTATCTAGAGCAATTTGGATTTAAACACACACAGAAGAATAACTGCATTATAAGAACATAATAAACTGTAGAGTAGTTGCAAGATCAGGGACAGTTTATCACCAAACATTTCTTGTCAGCTTCTTCTAATTATTAGTATGAAACTCTAGTCTGATAAAATGTTTTTCCAATTCATCAGTGCCAGAAATGCATCTCATGTACCAAGCCAATCTTACCATTTTGTAATAATATTATACATTTAATATTAAATAGTGTGATACTGGTATTTTTTTAACGAATAGAGGGCTTCCAAGAAAAATCACCCTAGATCATGTAGAAGTTCTTATAGCTGGACTTAGAATAAGTGGGCTGCTCTTCTCTAAACCTGCCTGTCTGGTCTGGGACGTCATTACGGCAAGTTTTATTAAACCAGAAAAAGCCCCAACACAATAGTGTGCCTGAACCCAAAATATAACATTCTTCCTACTTCACAGAGTAAAGAACAAACTGAGGACATTCTTTCCAAAGGCTAGGCACAGTACAAAATAACACATGTGTGTGTGTGTGTGTGTCATTTTCTGTTCTGTATGACTGGGGTACTGGTGTGTTTGTTGCCTGCTGGCAATTTTTCTTTTACTCCCATATTAGGTCTCTACTTACCATTTGTGGCCAAATTCCTGAGACAAATACAAGCCTGGTTTGAAATCTAGTTGAAGGAAACAAGCAAATCAGGAGGTGAGAAAAAAGCACTCTTGTCTCCAAAAATAAATTAAATGGCTGACAGGTTAATGTTAGTTTTATTTGAACACTTTCTTTATCACCAGGATATCTGGGTGGAATATGCTTGAAATGTGAGAAATGTGAGAGTGAAAAGATTCTCTGTCACAACATAACCCAGCTTTGATACTTTAAAACTATACCATCAGTGTTTTACTTTCTGTATGAGAGTAGCTTTTGTGGATTGATTAAATAAATACTGTAGTTCGTTGTAGTCCTTAAAAATCCTGAAATATCCCCCACAAATCTTCCCAAAAGACCAAATCATTTGTTCTACCAACGTCAGTCATAAAATCACTGTCCATGTCTTATACCTTCCCAGGTAGGCTGCAGGCAAAGTATATTCCCCAGACCAAAAAAGTGACTGCTGACATTTGTATCCGTATGATGGCATGAGAAAACAGCATCATCTTTGTAAACCTTGATTCAGACTATAGCATTGAATTGTGAACAAGTTCATGGTGGCTCTTTTAGCAAACCACATTCTTTGTTCAATATCTGACCCTAGCTTAAAAGTTTGCTCTTTTAGGGGAGCCTTCTTCTACCATGTACCTTCCAGGTGAATTCTAAGATCCATGATCCCAAATCAACATGGCTACATTCAGCACATGCAGAAAGTACTAAGATAGGAAAAGCAGTGCCAAGGAATTCATGGAGGAAGCCCATTCAACATCTCCTCTATTTGGACTTTTTCATATTCCCACATTGGGAAATGTATTTTAAAATAAAATATGAATAAGGACATTCAAGTATGGAATTGTAAGCATATTTATATTCCATTGAAATCAAGATATCTTTTGGGAGGAAAAAAAAACCTTATATGACTTAACTTCTAGAAAAATGGCAGACAATACTCTTGATCATTATCCAACAATCCCGAGCTTTACCTTGTCCACACCAGAAGATAGGAGAGAAAGGAGAGTCTGCAGAAGAAACCTGTCACCAACGTGAAGCATGGCTTTGTGGTGCTGTGAATTTGTAGCCACATTGCTGAGAGCAGCACAACTGTAATACTGTAAGGACAGAAGACAAAATTGGTAGATGCAGTTAAAGAGACAAGAGTTGGTCTACAATGGATGGGAACAATAAATATCAGATTGTCTCTTCTCTACCCCTGAATAACATGTAGTAACTTTGTAAGAACTTTTGACTCATCACAAAAGCAATGAAAAATATATAAGGAGTTTGAGCTTGTGACACTTATGGACTAAATTTCTAAAACTGTATTAAGAACCCATCACATCATGAAGGACCATAAATGGTTGAAGTTGAGAGCTCAGAATTCCTCTCCAAAGCTCTGGGATGTCAAATGAGAACACTGTAAGCAGTGAATTCAAATGGAATTGCTCAGTTCTTGAACAAATAAAATGACTGCAATAGGTGTGAGGATTCTAATACCAGAGCTTAGATTTGAGAGAAAAGACCATATGTTATGCTAATATAATACTTAAAATCAGTTTTCAATAGTTTCTTATGGAATGGATGCCATGGTGTAGAAATATGTTCTTTTGCCTCTTTGCAGAAAACACAAAAAAGTACAGAAAAGCACATTAAAAACAAACTAAAAGACTCAAGGTCCATCCCACCCCTGAAAGGACCTAATAGTAAAGACTGTAATGATGACACCATTAAAGCCAACCTCTTTAACACATTCTTTGGCTCAGTATTTGTAAACAGCAATGGATCATGCCCAGTATTTCCTAGCCGAACCACAGAAAACTACAATGATCTAATACATATCGATTTTACAGTAGACAATGTTGAAAAAGCACTACGCAATCTAAAACCATCTCTATCTATTGGACCGGACGGAATATGTGCCTACTTCTTAAAAAAGCTATCCAATGCCATAGTCGAACCTCTAAGCATAATCTTTGAAAAATCTTTCAGGACCAGCTCCTTGCCAAACCTATGGTCACAAGCCACGGTCATCTCCATCTTCAAAAAGGGAGACCCAAGCCTAGTTGAAAATTACAGACCAGTCTCTTTATGCTGCGTCACCTGTAAAGTCATGGAATCAATTATTAACCAATCCATTATCCTCCACTTAAAGACAAACAACCTACTCTCTAATAAACAATTTGGTTTCAGAAAAAACTATCCTGTAATGTGCAACTCTTACACTGCAAAAACATATGGACTACACAACTCGACCAGGGCAAAGCAATTGACGCAATCTACATAGACTTCTGTAAAGCCTTTGATTCAGTGGTACACAACAAACTACTCCTAAAACTAAAATCTTATGGTATCTCTGGACACTTGCATAACTGGATAGAAGCATTCCTGTCAGACAACAAATGGTCAAAATTGGGAGCGTCCTATCAAATTCTGTACCTGTCAACAGTGGTATCCCCCAAGGCAGTGTTTTAGGACAAACTCTCTTCATACTCTACATAAATGACCTCTGTGATCATATTAAGAGTAACTTCATTCTCTTTGCTCATGATGTAAAGCTATTCAACACCACAGACAACACTGCTACCCTTCAAAAAGACCTCGACTACGTATCAGAATGGTCAATCAAATGGCAACTTCAAATCTCAACAAATAAATGCTCTGTCTTACATATTGGCAAAAAAATCAGAAAATAAAATACAAGCTGAATAGTCAAGACCTTGTTGATGATCCAAACTCTATCAAGGACCTTGGAGTACTCATCTCTAATTATCTAAGTTCTAGAGCCCACTGTAACTACATAGCCAAAAAGGCATTAAGAGTTGTTAACCTAATCCTACATAGCTTTTTCTCTGGTAATATCACACTACTAACTAGAGCATACAAAACATTTACTAGACCAATACTCGAATACAGCTCATCAATCTGGAACCCGCATTACGTATCTGATATTAACACAGTTGAGAAAGTCCAGAAATATTTCACAAGAAGAGTTCTCCACTCCTCTACTTGTTGCAGAATATCTTATGCCACCAGACTTGAAATTCTAGACCTAGAAAACCTAGAACTATGTCGCCTTCGGTCCGATCTAAGTATAGTATATAAAATTATACATTGCAATGTCCTACCTGTCAATGAATACTTCAGTTTCAACCATAACAATACAAGAGCACACAATAGATACAAACTCATAAACCGCACCAAACTTGATTGCAGGAAATACGACTTCAGCAACAGAGTGGTCAATGTCTGGAATACTCTATCTGACTCTGTGGTTTCTTCCCCAAACCCCAAAAACTTTAACCTTAGACTGTCTACTATTGACCTCACCCCTTTCCTAAGAGGTCTGTAGGGGGTGTGCATAAGCGCACCCAACGTGCCTACTGTCCCTGTCCTATTGCTTCTTTTTATTTTTTCTTATATGTATCCATTTCATGTATTCATAACTATGTTTATACTTATACCTGCTTGACAAAATAAATAAATTAATAAACAAACATTGAATGAAAATGAAAATGGCTTCCAAAGCTTCAACAGTATCAGCTGGGGGCAATTCCATATGAAAGCTTCCTTACTTTGTTTCCGGTTGGGCACTGTAACAACTTTCTGAAAAAGGAAAAGTGACTACAGTCCATTTAGATGGAGCTGATCTTACATAAATTGGGACTTAAGTGATAAACTAAAATTCATATATCTATTCTGTGAGGTTTATATGTATGGAAATCATTGCCTGCCTCAATTACTTCTTTCCACCTGAAGATCCTTGATGTTCTTCCAAATGAATTTCTATTAGTATTACCCTTAATCCCAATATAGTAATTTTTTAAACTTGAGTGTACAAAAAGGAAGGTTGTAAAAGAAAGTTTGGGGGAACCTTCCTCAGGCATTTTTTTTTTTTACAATAGTGCAGCAACTTTCGGAGTGGGGACAAATACCCTCTACTCCCATGTTATCCCACAGTTGTAGGCACACATTTGCAGTGGATGAGGGCAAAATGTTCAGGCCCATTTTTCTATATGGTAAAGGGATTTAAAGATATCCCAGGGATTTAAAACATCTATTTTGCCCATAAAACATGCAACACCTCACATCCGCTCACCCACAGCCAGAAAAACTTTTGAAAGGGAAGGAGGAGCACATCACTTTTTTTTCACAGCATATATTTCTCCCTTACCACAATATTGATGGAAAGAAAATCAAATATTTGTTCAAAGCTTAAAACTTAAACAGAGCAATGGCCATCCGTGATTATGTCAGACAAAAAGTCAAGGACAAAAAGTAGTGCTAAAGTTGTTCCAAAGTACGTTTTTTCAAGCCTCTGAACAAATGCAGCAAACAAGATCACATTTGCTTAAGCTGCTACGGTGTCTCTCACAATTTCTTTCAAAATATGAACAACTGGCTCTCAGATCAAATAGCTCTTATCTTACTCATCCATAAAACTTTATTTTAAATGTCGGTTACCATCTATAACAAGGGTGTCAAACTCAATTTCATTGAGGGCCGCATCAGGATTGTGTTTGACCTCAGGGGGCCGGAGTGGGCATGGCCAGGGTGAGCATGGCCAGCTTGACGTCACTCGTGTCGGGGGAGCCTGTGGTGGCCCGAGCGCTCTGCCAGCGAAAACAAGCTAGCAAGCTCAGTTTTTGGCTCTGGCGGCCTCCTGCAATCCTCTGCCAGTGAAAACGGAGCTCCCCTGGGCCAGATCTAAGGACCCTGCAGGCCAGATCTGGCCCCCGGGCCTTGAGTTTGACACCCCTGATCTATAAGGTGTCAGTCTTGTCTTTTTGGTTGTGTCTTTTCAACTTGGTTGAGGATTCAGGTTCTGTCAGGGCAATTTTGAATTCAATGATGCATTATGTTTCCAGAATCATCAGACCAGTGTTTATGGTTTAGTGTGTTCAGTTTCAGAAGTTCCACTGACAGGATGGATACAAATTTTACCTGAACTTCTGTGTCAGAAGACTCTAATAAATGGGTGAGAATTGGGAGAGCACTTTGACGAACCAAAACCCTTTGGATCCATTCTGTAAAGGAACAGATTAACACTCAAATGGCATCTGTAATCATTTACTTGGATCTTACCACTGCTACCTAAGTATGTACTGTACCTAAAAATGAAATAAATTGCATTTTCACAAAAATATACCTGCACCAAAACCAGTTTATTTTACTGCTATTGTGCGCATGGACAATAACATTGCTGGGTAATTACTCTGTTAGCAAAAGCTGCAAATAGAATTAAAAGAATATGGCTATTTTATTCTGCATGACAACAAAATCTGGATTGCATATCCTAGAAAAACATGTCCTGATGAGGTAGCATTTATATAAGATTTGGACTCATGCAGTTATTAAAATGTGTCTGGAAATGATTGTACTATAAATAAAATACTATATTTCTTTAACATGCAAAATGGCAGTACAATGTTATTAATTTAATACATTGACAAAACAATAGTGTTCATAAAAATCTCCCCCCCCCCCGACCCACAGACAGAATACAGCTTTAATAGTTAGCAACCAGCTTCACAAATGCACTCTTTGCTGCATAGATTTTCTGCATTTCCTAAATTAAGTAGGCACTAGTGTTTAACTTAAACTCTGTTCTCTAAACATTATTGAAATAGAATTCTTTATAGAATTCTTTATTGTCCAAGTGTGATTGGACACACAAGGAATTTGTCTTGGTGCAAATGCTCTCAAGTGTACATAAAAGAAGAGATACATTCTTTACAAAGGTTGCCAGAATGTCCTCAATGGAACCTATCTCTAATTCTCTTTTTCTTACTATTCTTGCATTTGGCATAGTTGAAATAAATCACAGCTGCCACATTACCTGATCGCGTGAGGTTGAAAATAGCTTGAACAGCATTTTGTTGAACACCAATATCGTGAGATTTAGAAAGGGAAAGCAAGGGTATAGTTCCTCCGGCTGCTGCCATGGCATTCCGACAGGCCTCTGAAGGAAGCAGCAGAGAAAAAGATAAATTAAGGAAGGCTTAGCTTTGTTAGGAGATAGCTTGGGAGTAATCATTCAAGATCGGAGACTGAACACTGGGCCTAGTCCTCAACTCTCCAGCCATGGCTTTGTGTGCTATGAATATCGCTATAAGCCTACAGTGAGAACTACTGCTACAAGTTGCCTTGGGATAATAACTGACCAGAAGTTTTAATCAATCAAAATGTGTATCTTGAAGTGCCAAGCTGGAGGTTGAAGAACCCTCTGGAATGGGGTAGGGCAACAGAAGAAGCAAGCAGCAAAAAGAAGAGAGTTTAGCTGCCTGGTTGAAGGCTCCTTTCAAACACCAGTTAGCTGAAAATGTAATAAAAAGTCAGGCTGACTTGAGTTTGAGTACCAAGCCTTGAAATCTGAACGAAGTTTTGAGACTGCCATCTTCTTTTCTCTTGATATGTTGAAGACTCTAGCCATGTAACACAGTAACATTTCTTTGGGCACAGGAGGATTCTGTAGAACAGATTCTATGGCAACTGTTGCAATAAAATGGTTGGGCATTTATAAATGCAGTGCCTATTTGGGAGGGAGAAAGGATACTCCCGAGAAACTTGAAAGGCCCATGGCTACCTCATCATAATGACCACCTGTTGCCCTCTTCTTTTTCTGAAGATCTTTGAAGATCTCTATAGATCTTGCTCTGCACTCCAAGATGAACTAAAGATAAACAAAGCAAGTAACATTCCTAACCACGTAATATAAAGGTACATATCTGCATAATTCAGCAGTTATTCAAACAAATTGGGGTGTATCTGCGGAAAAATGAAAGTATACATAGCTGTAATCAGTGCAGTATAATAATTATGATGTTGAACTTGGGCTAGAGAGAGCTAATTTTGATCCTTCACTCAATCACCATACTGGGGGGGCTTTGTGGCAGTCACTGTTTTCAGCCCATCTTCTCTTTTATAGAGTTGTTTTTGAAGAATAAAACTAGGGAAGAGTCAAATGGATGTAGATTAGAGTTCAAAAAGTAAAGGAAATAACTGCGGGAAATGGAATTGTTGCTGAACTTAACCACTACCTTAGGCTTGGGAGCCCTGCTCACCTGAGTCAGCCAGCATCATTAAGCAGGTACAGGAATTCCCCTGGACAGTGATATCGTCCGATTCAAGTAGCTCTAGGATTGGCTCAAGTAAATCCATTTCTATGACATGCTCCTTGGTTACTGTTTGTAAACAAAGGTAGTAGTAAATAACCTTAAACATTATTATAAATTCAATGCTAAATAAATTTAATAGTAAAAAAATCTTAAATACAAAGTTTAAAATGCAGTACTGAAGAAATTTAGTATTTAAATAATACTGAAGGTAGCAAAAAGCTACTGACATTACTACAGAAATGTGTTCCATTTACTATGAAGTAACATCCACTTTCAGAATTCCTATGAAATAAATCATTTCATTGGGGCAAGAATCTAATAAATTTATTAGCGGCTACACACTTCAGGCAGTGGTGGGATTCAATTTTTTTTTACTACCGGTTCTGTGGGCGTGGCTTGATGGGGGTGGCTACTGTAAAATCTCCAGTCAGAGGTGGTATTTGCCAGTTCTCTGAACTACTCAAAATTTCCACTACCGGTTCTCCAGAACTGGTCAGAACCTGCTGAATACCACCTGAATACCAGGTGCAAAAAAACTGAGTGCCAAGGGCTATATGTGCTCCTGTCAATCTTGACTTGAGTTTTACTGTCCCCAAATCACCAGCAACTGTGATCAAAGTACTATTTTAATAGGACGAGGAAAATTATTCAACACGATTATAAGTTTTACCATACTCATTTTAATTATATGTAAATGAAGTAAACACAAATGAATTTATAAATATGTACAGTATATTTAATCCAGTCCATTATCAGAAAAAAACATTCTGCACTACTGAAGCATTTCCCTCCCTGCAAATGAATCCTCAGGGCAGTTCAAAAACCAACTTGTGATTCTTTAGGGGCAGAGTTGAAAAGAACTCACATTCTAGGCAGGTGTCGTATTCAACTTTCTCAGAAAAAGATTTCTTGGTTATCCACTCACCATTTCCTTCTAATAAAAAGCTGAGCAGGGATAAGGATGAAATCTGCTGCACCTCCAAATCATTAGACTTCAGCAAAGCATAATATGTTTCCAAATGCTCTCGGGACAGATGGATGTTTAATGCTAAAATTAGAAGAAACATTTGAACATTCAGAACAATGATCCTTTTGTCTTGGAACTGTGGATGTTAAAGCACAGAAGAAGTCATAACTAGGAGATATCTTAGTCCACTTTCAGAAGATGCCTTCCACCAATCTATCCTATGTAAACCATCCTGATTTATACACAGTGAAGATAGCAATGCATTCTACCACATACCAGCCTTCATACACATAAACTTCTCATGTAGCAGCTTCTACAATTCCAAGGCAAAGCCTCACAGTATATTGTATTATAATTTCATGCTTTCCATAGGAGCAAGTTGCTAGAATCAAGACAGAAAATTCTTCCAGGATCCCTTGAGCTTCCATGCTAGAAAGAGAATTTTAATCTCCTCTACGTCCAGTGTATAAACTAAAGAAACAACCAGCCAAAGTGTGCCCTCCATTAAGCATCTGATTGTATGGTGAAAAGTATAGCACCGTTCCTGTGAAGACCACACAGAATTAAGAGCAATATGGCTCCGTCCTCAGAGGCTGAGAATGTGTGTATGCACCTTGCAACTGTAATCTTAATTTCAGATGTTCCATTCCAATTTCTGATTCATTTTCTCTGAAGACTTCTTCAAGTCTGGTGCCCAGAAGGTCTGACCAATTGGCAGGTTTCTTCTCATAATATACCAATGGTGTAGAGGTGGTATTCAGCAGGTTCTGACCAGTTCTGGAGAACCGGTAATGGAAATTTTGAGTAGTTCGGAGAACCGACAAATACCACCTCTGACTGGAGATTTTACAGTATCCTTCCCCTGCCACACCCACCAAGCCACGCTCACAGAACCGGTAGTAAAAAAAAATTTGAATCCCACCACTGTGTAAAGGCCTCAGTCAGTCAGGATTCTTTCCTCTTCTTTCTGCCTCATTCTATTCAGCTCTCTAGTTTCTATCAAATGAGACATCTATCTGTTGGACTGCTGCTCTCTGCTGTAATTATCATGTTGACTAAAATCTTTTGTATTTACACTGATGCCTCATTCACCTTGCTTTGATTTACCTTACACCTGTATTATCTTACTACAATCCACCATAACTCTCTTTACTTAGCAGGCTCTAAATCCCTGTGAATCCTAATATTCCATATAATTGTGTTATGTATGAAATTCTAATGTTAGTCTACGTTTTAATAATCCATCCATGTTCAGCTGGAGGGGAAGTGCTTTGCTTTCCTAGTTATTACAATGCTTACTTACAGTCTTGGCTTATGTGTAGATAGTAGAGAGCAGCAAGCATTTGCAAGCCAGGATGATCAGAAAATGCCAAGGTCTTCAAGGCCTCTAAAGAGATCTTGCCAAGTGATGACATTTCAAAACCTTAAAGAAAAATATAAAAAGAGATTCTGAATTGTGTCAGAAGTAGTGAAAGTATTGAAGAATCCACAGAACTGAAATAAGTAGGTGGAGGGTAAAAAAAACACCCTTTGACATTAAAATATTATCTGCGCATGCTTGAAAACATAGTGGATAAAACTGAATAAGCATTTGAAAAGATGCTCGCCTTGTTCTTAATTCTTTTTACAAAAAATAGTTTAGCATCCTTCCCTTCCCTTAGTTACCTTTCCTTCTGGGTGTAATTTCCCTCTATTTTCCATCCTTACTGATTTTGGGTTCAGATTCTCTTTACTGAGAGAATATATAAACTGATCTAAATGGATTTAGATTTACAATAACTAAGATTTCATTCCTCCAGGAGTTATCACAGTCTCACTAACAAAATCATGTAAATGGCCAAATCTACTCTGATGAAATTGATTGCGAATTTGTGATGCTGCGTATGGAATCATATAGCCAAAAAGGGAAGTAAATATATGCTTAATGGCTATGGAGATTCTCAGTCATCCAGGTCATGGTTGTCTCAAAGGTGATTTTTCAAAAGGCAACTGGACTATTTTGGGGGAAAATAAAAGTCCAGTTGCCTTTTGACAAAGCACCTTTGGGATAAGTAGATGCTTAAGATTATCTCAATATATCTAATGGGAAAAATAATCTGGAAAGCAGCAAAGTTCTCCAATAATTCAGTGAGAATTTTATGTGTTTAAAAACTATAAAATGCTGAGTGACTACAGGGAAAGTTAATGATAGATTTCAACCCTATATGTATTTTAAGAGTTTTCTATAAATTATTTTAAACTTAATTTACAAAGAAAAGGTAATGATAAATTAAAAAGGATAAAAATCATCATTATGCATCTCTTTATTTAAAAAAAAAAAACATGACTTTTCTAGGTATGTATAAAAATTCTTTATGTCTTTGTGTATGTGTATGTCCCCATAATTAATTTGCTACTAAAATTTCAGATATCCCAGATCCTAGCATTAGGAATTTCCTTTTTTAGAAGGAGTCTGGAGAATGTGGTAATGAAATTAGAAAAGTAAATCTTTTTTGTACATCTGAGAAGATTTGTTCTAAGAAAATAGTGTTTGGTAAGCTATGGTTGATTTTGCCCTTATTATTGTACAACAGTTATTATGTGCCATCATGGTTCATCACTGAACCCAGAGGTTCTTGCCCAGCTAAGGAATGAGAATGCTTGAATGAAAATGTAAAAGTGCATTGTGGCAGCTTTAACAACAAAAATCAAGGTAATTGACATGTAAACAAATATCTGCACATTTAAAAGCAGAGATTTAGTCAATAAACCGAGAATTGAGAATCAATTGCCCACTTATTTTTTGGGATGCTTTAAATTTTGGCTTTTTCTCTGTTTCACCATTATTCACAAAAAGAAAAAAACCAGGAACACAAATAACATGACTCCCTGAACTTACAGTACTCAAGCAAAGCAACAAAGTTGTAACAAACAATTCAACATAGTTGGCTGACACACTTTCAAAAGCAGAAATGTCTCACCTTTCTGAATGTGTTGCAGAAACTCTTGGGCAGTTTCCTCTTCATAGGGATGAAGAACAGGTTGGTAGAGCTGCCTCATTTCAACATTTTTTCGTTTTAGGCAAGGGCAGTCAGCGATCTGAGCCAAACACTCTCTAATGTCAAGCAACAAACCTGACAACAGTGTTTTCACTGAGACAGCAAAGTTGTAAAGCAATTGAACACACTTGGTACACAGCTGACCCATTTTTATTTTCCAAATCCAATAGAAAACCCAGGAACAAAAAGGGAGCGTTTATACCTTGTTTATTTTATCGTTCATATATTCCTTGTACTGGAAAATTTTGATCTAGATAATGCCAAACATGATGTGGATGAGTTATTTAAAAGCTCAGATTGTTCCCTGAGTTCAGACAGAAAATCTAACTCTGCATCTAACCACTCCAAGTTAAGCCTTTTCCTCTATTTTAGACTGGAGAACAATAAACAATTAAACAAAACTGTAGCATTCAAAATCACCCTTTGTCTAGAGTCAAACAAAGGGTATTAAAAGAAAGCACAGCAATCTTAGAAACAACTAGCAACAACTCCCAGGATAACAAAGAAAGGTGATGCTTATATAGAATGACATCACAGGTCAGAGCAACGAATATATTGGTCCCTACCTCCTTAATTGATCAGCCAATCAGTGGAGAAGAAAACAAAAACTTAAAACAGGTTGTTCCAGTTTCTTCCAGACAAAGTAATAGTGCCCTTTGACTGGCACAAACCCAGAAAGGCCCTGAATACCTTGTGTCTGCAAAAACAAAAAAATACATACACCTGTTGGAAGAAATATCCTTCTGGGTTCAGTTCCAAGTGGGGAAAAGGACACTGGAAACATGAAGGCTGTTTAGAAAGATGGTTTAATGGTGGACAGGACCACATGGCTTGGAGCTCCAAAGTGAAAAGGATGATCACATGCTTCAAGGTGAAGGAAAAGATCAAGAAGAAAGGAGGAGGGCTGAAAGTGCCTGGTTTTATACCCTCTGTGGAGATTTGAATTTGAGCTTGTATTCTGATGAGTTGTCAAGACTCCCATCTGGCCATGCAGAGGCAACTTTGTAGGCTGTCCTGAGTTCTAGGCTTGGTTGAGCCTTGCTGAATGATCATATAATGAAAAGGGCTTTGGGCAATTGCTATAGCTTTACCTGGAGATCTTTGTTATGTAAAATATTCTGGTCCAGGCCTTAATGGCCTATTAGCAAAGGTGGGGGGGCTGAGTTTCTGCCTCTCTGAGGTGAGTTTCTGCTTCTGAGTTTCTACTCTTTTTAGGGGAAATATTCTGCCTTTTTAATATTGCCCAGGATATTTCATTTTTCTAGGAGAGGGGTGGGTGCTAACTTCCTACACACTCTTTGTAATTTCCCATTCAAACACCAAGAATGAAGTTAGTAAGAATGAACATAAGAAACAAATATACCAAATATTTAGGTCCAGACTCTAGCTAAAGCAGGATTGCTGTGGGGAAAATAGGCAGAGGAAGTTGTGTTGGATATGTTTGCCACTTTTTGTTATTTGTAAAGGTGGATATAAATACATAAATACAACATATATATACATATGTTGAAAGAATTATCCTTCTGGGTTCAGTTCCAAGTGGGGAAAAAGACACTGGAAACATGGAGGTTGTATGTAATGGTGGACAGGACCCTTGGAGCTTGGAGCTCCAAAGTGAAAACGATGATCACATGCTTCAAGGTGAAAAGAGAAAAAAAGGGAAGGGATAAGATGCTAAGAGACCTTTATATACCCTCTGTTGGGCCACACCTTAGTGTTTCCTGTTCCTGTGTAAGAAATGTATCCCATTGGCTGTCAGACTCCCAGCGGTGGGGGTCCTAACTAACTTTGTAGGCTTTGTCTGGACCATATGGCTTCACCCGAGTGTTGACTGATACGATTTTCCCAGATTGTGAGATGGGTAGAGGCCTTTATTATGTAGAGTACTCTGGCCTAGGCCTTAATGGTCCATTAGCAAAAGGTGTGGGGGGTGAGTTTCTGCCTCTCTGAGGTGAGTTTCTACTTCTGAGTTTCTACTCTTTTTAGGGGGAATATTCTGCCTTTTTAATATTTCCCAGGATATTTCATTTTTCTAGGAGAGGGGTGGGTGCTAACTTGCTACACACATATATAAGCTTCCTCTTGCTTATTGGACTGAACAAAAAAGATTAATAGTACAGTAACTTTAGTAGTGAATGTATGATAGAAATTAAAATTTGATGCATCTTGCTTTGTTCTCATCATAAAGTTGCTATGAAATTTGTACCATGCAACTACAATGTGTAACCATAGTAACTAATTGATAATTACCATATGGTTTAAAAATAATAAACTGCCAAAGTGGCAAAGTATGGATATGAAGAAGCTATGCATTTGCTATTTGTTCTTCTTATGATACCCTTGCATATCCTTATATTTTATTTTCCCCAATTCCTCCATATTTGCTTTCACTTGTATTCTCCTTGTAACTCTGTCCCCATTTCCATTTACTTCAGTGAACTAAGCACGATTTTCATCTACCTCCAAGTCAACATATTGGCTATATTCATGTAACACACTGAACTGCAGATTTCATCCTTTTTTGACCAAGCATATCATGCAAATTCAGCCCTTTTACTAATGTATGATTCAACCTATCAAGTAAACCTAGAAAATTGGATGGAGTCCATTAATGTTCTGAATGTCTATTGTGCAAATTCAGTCAAATAGGATTGCTCTGTTAAAAGATTATTTTTAATCTGAATCTGGCCACGTGATCATCTAGCCTTCCTTCCTCTTTCCACCAGCAGAAAAACCGATAATTCAGGTCCACAAGCAGGAATCATACTAATGTGCTCTCTAGTAACTAGTATTTTAAAAGCCAGTGGTTAAGGTACCAGGCTAGAAACTGGGAGACTGTAGTCTCACCTTAGACACAAAGTCAGCTGTGGCTTTGGGCCATCATTTTCTGTGTCTTTCTCTGTGTCTGTCTGTCTCTCTTCCTCTCTGCCAAGAAAATTGCAAAGACTTGTCCAGGTAGTTGCCAGGAATCAACACTGAATTACACCCCCCAAAAAAACTCCACCAGTATTTAGGAATACATTGTTTCTGGATACGGAAGTTAATGATCATGTTGAATACCCATTTATAGGATATGTTCTCTATTAATTTGTCATATAGCTCACTTAAAGCTATCTTTAAGCTCTAAAAAAAGGTAATCTCATTTAAGTCAAGTTGAACTCTTCGCAATTCGTAGGTAGGTTAACATAGCTTTGTTGAAAACAGTACATGAATATGCCATTGCCTTATGCATTATTTTTTTTAAAAAAATCCCAATGTAGCCTATACACCCTGTTTTCAAACACCAAAACACTGTATTTTATTACACCTAGTTCCTTGTTTCAGCTTCAGCTAGAACAAATAGCTGTAAGGAACGACACCACAAAGACACCTTGCACTCTGCAGACGATATGAAAAGCTATACTGGATGCCCATTCACAGATATAAGAGAAGAAATCTCAAAACATAAACATTCTTCGAAATTATGCACGTTGATAAGGTAGACTTCTCCTCCGCATGCGCGCTGGAGTCTCTGCTTCTCCCTGCCACCTTCTTTCCCAAAAGGACACAGCAGTCACAGCCATCTAGCAGTCGACTGGAGTTTTGCAGTCCACTCCAGATACGGCCGTCTTCTGGGAAGGAATTATATTACGTGACTATGAAAAACTATCAACTGTAGGACTTAAGTATTTTTCCATGTTATAAGCGCCATCTTTCTGACGGGCAAGCGTCAGGTCGGCCGCTTTCCTATCCTTTTTCGGGCCGCCTTCCGGCAGCGGAAGTGACGCACCCGTTTATTCTAACGTCGCAGAAAGCCAGTCTTCTCTATGATTTCCCCTTTCCTTTTCGTTCCCTCCGCCCCATTTCTTTTTCCTTCGTCGAGACTGGAAATGGCCGCCGGGTGGTGAGAGTCGGACGGGAGGTGTCGCCCAGAAAGGGTGAGCCACGACTAGGCCGGGATCCGAATGTGCGGTGAAGAGTCGAGCCAGGGAGGGATTCAGAAGCCGGTTGCGTATTTTGTGGGGTTGGGTGGGTGGGTTCGACCGTTATACTTCCACGCGATGGTATCGACCTTGTTTCCTTCCCTTCCCCTCCCCCCCCCCCCCCCCCATGTTGTGGCGCGCGAATCTCTTTCAGCGCGCGACGCAGCTTCCCCCTCCCACTTTTTGGTCCCCCCCACCTCCACCTTCGGCTAAGAATTTCTCCTGTCCCCATTTTCTCTCGCGCGAGCGCGCGGCGAGCTGATGTGGGGGAAGGGAAGGGGGGGGGAAGGAGACGCGGAAGAGCTTCGGTTGCTCTCCACGCCTTTGCCGAGGCCCGGTCAGCTGCCTTATCTCCTCCTCCCTCCGTCGTCTCCCCCCACCCCTCTTGTTTGGGCGCGGCCAAGACAACCTGGGCGCCTCGCCGCCGCTCGCGAATATTTCGGGACTGCTAGGGAAAAGGGGGGGGGGGAGGGGAAGGCCGCCTCTTTTCGGTGTTATTTCTCAATTGCGGGGCTTTCCGAGTTCTTCTCAATTGCCGGGCGGCGATCCCTGACCTAGTCGCCCTGTGGCTTGCAGGCGGCTTATGTATCGGGAAAAGAGGCCGTGAAGGAGATTAAAATCATAAAAGCCCATCAGCGCGGTTGGCTATTGGACTCCTATATTAAAACAAAAGGATTCTCTGGTACGTTGTGCTGTTTCCAAACTTCAGAATTTGTTTCTGTTTTTTGTAAATTCAAGGATCGTACCAAATTGGCTGTTTAAAACTGCGGCGTGTTTTATTTGTATTTAAGTACAGAACGTGTAAGTGATAAGTCTCTGAATTTCTCTGAAGTGTAATAGGGAATAATGGGCGAATAATTTAGTTTAAGGTAAGAAAATCTGGAAGCAAGAGAACAGCATACAGATTTTTTAAAAAAGGGCTGTTGAGTAAACTATAGCCAATGTAAATATTGAGAAAGGCTGAATTGTGAATCTGGGGTTCTTGCTACTGGTTTTTTTTCCCCTTCCTTATGCTTAAAATCCAATGGTGTCAATTATTCTTAGGCATTCGGTTTTGAGAGCGAGTGGAGCTATAGGAAACATTTGTGTGGGTAGGATTAAGATTTCCTTTAATCTTAAATTAATTACTAAGAAACAATGGATTGGATCTAAAATGTACACAGGTTCCGTTTCTTCAGTTAACTGAAGATACGTGCATCTCTCCCCTCATATTATTAGGCTTTGCCCCCAAATATTACCCAAGGGTCATAGAACTGGATTAAGTTGTGCAGGATATAAGGTAAAGATAAATTTGTGCTAATGGGCTTTGCTTTTTAATAGTCTGTTTTAATAAAAAAAATGGAGATGTATGTATTATAATCTATTTAGATTAAAATTTAAAGTGATTTATCTCTGCTTATAATAAAATTGGGACATATGTTACCTTCTATTGAACAGGTATAAACTATTGTGGAAAATATGGGTCGCTCTAATACTAGATCCCATTCCTCAAGATCAAAGTCTAGATCTCACTCCTCTTCAAGATCCAGAT